CCTGCTCATAGGGCATCCTCAGCACAGCTCTGAAGATCTGCACGTAGGACACCACAATGAAAATGAAACAACCAAAGAATAAACAGACACTAAATCCAAGAAGCCCAGCTTCCCTGAGGTAGGAGTGTGAGCAGGAGAGCTTGAGGATCTGGGGGATCTCACAGAAGAACTGGAATTTGTTTGTTGCATTTCATAAAGGGCAGAGGTARAATTCTTACTTCTGCAAACTCACAGTCCTCCTTGGATTCTGATGACTGTTTTCCCTAGAATTTGCTGTGCCAGGTGGAAGTAGAAGAACAAACCTATTCTGTGGCTCCCTCTGGTGGTCGATATTGTGTGCTTATTTGAAGACTAGAAACGCTCCTCTGGTTTTAATGTTGAGGTCAATGTAGTCCTTCCTGAATCACTTCATTGTGCAGAATTGCAAGAGAAAGTCAAGGCAGTCTTCTATAGCTGTGCATTTTCTGAGAGGTGAAACGTATGCATAAATGAAGAACTTCTTCACCATCAACTTTCTGTCAATGATGTTTTAAAATACACATTTATTGGGCAACTTAGAGCTTACTAGAGGGCTGTATTTGTTGTGGCACAATAAATACAGAGGCAAGAGTCTGTGTGGTGCTAGAGTGCATGCAGCCAAATCAGTAGAGGGCAGATCTCTAAAAARASTTGAATTTAGTTATTTTTTTCAAAATTGCTGTGAGCTTTCTCTAAAAGTGATGTGCATAGAAAGCATGTACATGCACATGCACTTTTATTTTAGCAGTTATACTTTGCTCTGTGGCATTTGGTGAGGTGCTGTGTAGCCTGCTTAAGGAGCATTACCCTCATTTGCTGTTATGAGTTCCTGTTTAAGGCTGAGAGAGTGGCCTGTTCAGCCTGAAGAAAAGGCACCTGAGGGGGGATCTGCTCAGAGTGTATAACTACCTCAAGAGATAGAGGGAGGAGGATGGGGCTGGCCTCTTTTTGGTGGTGGCCACTGACAGAACTAGAGGAACCAGCCACAAATTGAAGCACCAAACGCTCTGCASGAACTTGAGGAAAAAATTCTTAACAGTGAGGGTGACAGAGCACTGGAACAGGTTGCCAAGAGAGACTGTGAAGCCTCCTTCTGTGGAGATCTTCAAAACCCACCTGGATGCCACCCTGTGCCACAAGCTCTAGGTGACCCTGCTGGAGSGGGRGGATTGGAGTAGATGATCTCTAGAGGACCCTTCCAACTTTAAACATTCTGTGATTTTGTGATTGTAATCTGTGTTGGTGCCTGGAGTAATTCCCGGCTGGATGCAGGACCCTGCACTTGTCCTTGTTGAATCTCCTGAGGTTCCTCTCTGCCCAACTCTCCAGCCTGCCCAGATCTCTCTGAAAGGCCGCACAGCCCTCTGGARTGTCGGCCACTCCACGCAGTATGGTATCAGCTCCAAAGTTGCTCAGACTGCACTCCTTGCCCTCGTCCAAGTCATGGATGAACAAGTTGAACAGCCCTTGGCCCAGGGTTGATCCCTGGGGGACACCACTGGCCACAGGCCTCCAACTGGACTCTATTTGTCACCACCCTCAGAGCTCTGCCATCCAGGCAGCCGTTAACCTACCCTATCATCCACTCAGCTAACCCGGCACTTCCAGAGCATCCCCATGAGAAGGTTATGGGAGATGGTCACGATCCACATGAGGAGAGGAGCTTCCTTCATGAAAGGAAGAGGTAGAGTGGGCGAGGAAGAAGCATGAAGGGGAGAAAGGGGTCAGGGCACAGGCAGAGGGGAGGTGGATGAGGATTATGCGTGGARTGGGGGAAGGTGGCAAGGAAAACGGATAGGTGGAGCAGGCAAGGAAGAAGCCAGGAAGTGAGGAAGGGGGAGAGGAAAAGGGAGAGGTGGAATGGGTGAGGAAGAAGCAAGGAGGAAGGAAAGGGAAAAAAAAAACCCTAAAACTAGGCCCAACCCAACCTCTGTCTAAGCCTCACCCTAACCACAACCCTAAGATTCACCCCTAACTCTAAACCTATACTCTAGTCTTAACTCCAACCCTAACGGTTACCTTAACCCTAAACTCTAACTGGACAATGCAAGCATCTGTCTTGGCCCTGCAGCCTATTTCTATATCACTGAATCAGATAACTGC